GTGAAACACACTTTTACTGTCATCCCTTATTCCAACTATCTAATAAAAATCTGTAAAATTGTTTGTTATGTCATTGGTTAAAAACATGTGTAAACAATGTCAGATGATATTTGAAAATTATTGAATAACTGTCCTACGTGTTATGTCATTATAAGCGCAATCTCTCTCTAGAATGAGAGCTTCTGTCTCTACGTGAGAGCTGGTGTACCTTCTGATAGCTACTAGGTTTTTTTTTTTTTCATTTCCTTATAGCATCTATATGGGTGGGATTTAGCTCATTCACTGGGTGCTTTGTATTCTTGTGATTCTTTGTGTCTCCTCCGATCTAGTAATGGAGAACTTCGATTTGGAGGAAGGTTCGGGGGAGTGTGAGGACATCTTTGGATTGTGCTTGGTCAGCAAAATTTTGGCTCCAAAGATTTTGAACAAACACTACTAGAAAAATGGGTACTTGACACGGAACTATTTGCGACGGTTTAAGTGTCGTTGCAAAAAAGGAAGCTTTTGCGACGACACTTAATGACGTCGCGAAATTATTTTTGTTGCAACGGAAAAGCTAAGTCCGTGGCAAAAAAGTAAGGTTATATGCAACGGTACGTTAAATGTCGCAAAATTTTCCTGGTTTAATTTTTTTTTTTTTTTTGCGATGCTCTTTTGGCAATCCGTCGCAATTTTTTTTGGCTTATTCACTCACGACGGGCGTTAATATCATCGCAAATAGTTATTCCTAAATTCACGCCAAAACCCCCTCCCACTCTTCCTCTTTCCCGATATCCCCAAATTCTGTAATCAGTTGGATCAAAAAAAAAAAAACCCCCTTCAATACTCTACCCTAATCTCACTGCTTTCTTCCTCCCTCTCACCTAGTCGTCACTCTATCTCTCTTGCAGTGGCAACAACAACGTCTAGGTAACCCTCTTCTTTCCCCTCGCTCTTGCTCACACATACCCTCCCTCTCACCCAGTCGTCGTTCTATCTCTCTTGCAGCGGCAACAACAGCGTCTGCAGCACCGTCTCCCTTGTAGCGGCAACAATAGCGTCACTCTGGTTCTCCCTCCGGCATCCAGGTATAGCCTTCCTTTGCTCTCATCTGGCCTTCTATCGTCTATTTCTCCCTGCTCATCAATTCATTGAAACTCTTTTGATTAAGAATAAAACATTTCAAGAATTTGTGTTGGTGTGTGTGTGTTTGATTTGTGCGAAAATTGATTTTCTGTTGGTGTGTGTTTGATTTGTGCGAAAATTGATTTTGTGTTGGTGTGTGTTTGATTTGTGCAAAAATTAGATGTATGTATATATATATATATATATATCTTTTTTAGATGATGCCAAACAAGGGCTTAATGTTCATATCACTAAGCATAAACCATAGCAAGAAGAAGAAACAATCACAAAAAAAAAAAAAAAAAAAAAAAAAAAAAAAAAAAAAAAAAAGAACACAAAGCAAAAAACACAATAGAAGTCACTTGGGTGTTTTTTTAGAGAGAGAAAGAGAGAGGGAGAGTTTTAGGAGACAGAAAAGATGGCAAAGTATTGTTATGTGACTGTCATTTTTGTCCTTACAATTGTGCTTATTCTGCAGGCCAATGCAAGGACTGTACCTGGTGGCACTAATGGTGTCAATCATGAGCACCAAGTGGGAAGGGTGTGAAGGACAAGAAGTGTGGTGTTGCATTTGCCGGCATCGGCGGTGTTGCCGGTGTTGGTGGGGTGCTTCCACACTACAAGAAAAAACACCTTTGGCAACTAAATTTTTAGTCGCCAAAAGTCTTTTTTTTAGTCGCCAAAAGTCGACTTTTCACTTTCCCTGACTAAATATTTTAGTCGCCGATTTTGTCGTGAATAGATGGTCGGCGGAGGTATTGGCGACTAAAAAAATTTTAGTCGGCAAAGTTTTAGTCTTCAGTGACCAAAGAATTTGTCGCCAATAGTCAATTACATTTTTGAAAATTATACATTTAGCGACTAATCTTTTAGTTGCCAATAGTGAATTATTTTTTTTTTATTTATACATTTGCCGACTAAGCTTTTCGTCGCCAATAGTCAATCTTTTGGCGACCACTGTTTTTAGTCGCCAAAAGCATATTTCAAAAAAAAAAAAAAAATTTACCCTTTGCTGTTCCCAATATTTGAACGACCGACCCATCCCACATTCCAAACCTTTACCAACACACTCTCCCCACTATGCCACTACAATATCACATGAATATAATTGCAACATATATTATTTATATATTACTTTGACCGGTATTTATACAAAACTATATATATATATATAAATAATTATTTTTATTCAATATAATTTATGTAAAAAATAAATTATTTACTAAAAAAAAAATTAGATCACTTTTGGCGACTAAATCTATTTTTTAGTTGCCAATTGTATAGTTTTGGCTACTAATTAGTTTTTAGTCGCTAAAAAAATTCATTCCCGCCTAAAAAAAACCAGTTTTGGCGACTAAACCTGTTTTTAGTCGCCAAAAACATCCCCTTTTGGCTACTAAAATGAATTTTAGTCGCCAATTGACTGTTTTTAGCTACTAATTTTTTTTTAGTAGCCAAAAAGCTTCACTTTTAGCGACCAAACTGTTTTTAGTCGCCAAAACACGTAGAATCGGCGACCAAACTGTTTTTTAGTCGCCAAAACCTATACTTTTGGCTACTAAATTATTTTAGTCGCCAAAAACTGTCACTTTTGGCTACTAAAAAACCTTTAGTCGCTAAAACCCTATATTCGGCGACTAAACTGACTTTTAGTCGGCAAAAGTGATCAATTTCGGCGACTAATTCCATTTTAGTCGCCAATTCTACTACTTTCAGCGACGAAAAATCCAGTTTTAGTCGCGGAATCTGCTTTTTGTTGTAGTGCCAATTGGTGGGATTGGGGGAATTGGCAGTGCCGGTGGGATCGGTGGTGTAAGTGGGCTTGTTGGGCTTGGAGGGGTAGGTGGGCTAGGTGGGCTTAGTGGTGGTGTGGGTGGTGGTGGTGGTGTTGGTGGAATTATACCTTAGGTTTTGTGTGGATTTTGTGGGTTTTTGTTAATGCACTATGCATGAATTGGTGGTTTGTTATGTCTTTTTAAGTTCTTTAAGGATGGTATAATTGCTTGGTTGTGCAATGTTGTGTTTATGGCGTTATTATTGTAATTCTGCTTTGGACTTGAATGAATGCTCTTGTTTCTAATAATAATAAAAAAAAAAACACAAAATACAAAACACAAATTTACGTTCACGGTTTGATACTAGTTTCATTATATTGATAGAAGAGAAGAGTTTCAAATTTACAATGCAACTATTATGAAGAGATGAATCTATATGCTAGGGTTTTATATCAATAATGTTCTTAGTACAATTCACAGCAAGGTCACATGATAAGTATGCAGTACTAATTAGATTTCACAATTCCAACATTAAAAATAAATAAAAATAAATTACATATAACAGTAATTAATTTTTAAAAAAAAGAAAAAGAAATTAGGTATGATGTGGGTTGCACAAGAAACTTTCCAATTTGTTGGCACTGATCAGTGGGTGAAGCAGTTGTCTAGAATATGACAGACCTAGGACCAAGGTGATTTAGTTATGTAATTAAATTCACATTTATGCATTTTATTAATGTTGAAGAAGCTTGAGTAGAACAAAATGGAATTGACTGGCAATGGAGCCATAGTTGTTAATTAGGATTGACAATTGGTTCATGCATGCTCATAAAAGTCACCAACACAGCAAAAATCATATTAATTATTAAATTTTTTGAAATATCACGTAACTGTTTGCTTGTTCAATGAGGTCACCTTGTTCCTCCTCTCCGATAAGGTGTCGTACATGACAACAAGATTATTTCTTACTAGTTTTTTTTTTTTTGGTGAAAGTTGATACAATTTTTAGTACTTCATAATCAATTTCTTGTAGCACATTCTCATATGAGAAGTTAAGGTTTCAAACCTCTGAAATAATTTTGTTAGTTATTATCTATATCACTTTCTTACAAGTTCATCTGCCCCTGTCGCTTAGCGGTCATTCATTCCTAATTTTGTTATACGTAAACAAAAAATAAAAATAAAAATAAAAAAAGAGGAAAAAAACACAAATGGAAAATAAAAATAATATATATATATATATATATAATATGTGTGATTCTTGATGAAACTCACAACTCAAACATGTGGCCCGTATATGTATATGTATATATATTGTGCAATTGAGATTTTTTGGCAATGGTTTATCTTCTCTCTATTTTTTCTTTTCTTTTTTTAACATGAAACACTCAAACTCACACCACAACACTGACAATAGACAACACCAATTATCAATTACATGGCATATATATAAAATATATAACTTTTTTAAGTACGGATTTTTCATAGTTTTGCATTTTTAAAAATCACAATATTGATATTAGTTACCTGAAGAGCCATCTTATTTACTACTAGAATATATGAATGTTTTTTCTTTGAGCTTGTCAGATGTGGACCAATCTAGATAATGAAGGTTCTAGGATTAGCAGTTGCACATAATTACCCTTTTGTCATTGTCCCTGTTAATGTAAATTGTAAATAGTAAATCACCCACTCCACCTACCACCTCCACTATCACCCACTCCACCTACCACCTCCACTTCACCCCCTACCACCTACACCTACTACCACCCTCTCTTCTATATATAGGAGTTATAATACATAACAATATATATCAATCAATACACATAAATCAATAATACATACAATTTATCTCTATCAATGTATTTTTTCATGGTATCAGAGCTATAAGATTTAGGCCTATATTCCTTTCTTTCCGGCGGGCAGCCGGCCGGCAACCATGCCTTCGCTGCCCGCTACAGTGTAGCGGTGAGCATAGCATTTACTGAGTGGACCCTACTGCAGACGATCTAAACTATTGCATCTGACAATCCTCCCTCCCACTTAACCCTGACCCTAAATACCTTCAAAACTTTGAAGGGTTGTTGGCGGTCAAAAATTAGTCAAAAAACACACCCAACCATGCTTTCTCCCACCACCACCACCTCCGCCGCCGCCATTTCTTCACCAAGCCCTGTCGAAGACCCCATCTCCGGCGATGACGTCATTTCCCGTTCAATCCAGAACGTCTCGGACACCGTCTCTCGTCACCGGCCATGGTCCGAATTCATCGCCGCCGGGGTCTTCGACAGCCCAGAATCCCTCTCCGCCGCCGGCCTCCGCCTCCAGAAGCACTCCACGTACTTCAGCATCAACTACGCGATTCTCATCTCGATCTGCGCCGCCTTCTCTATCCTCCTCACTCCGATTTCTCTGATCTCCTACGCCGCGGTCTTCGCCCTCTCGAATGGTTCCCACCGCTCCTCGCTTCAATGGCATGTGTCGGAATCTTCAGCTTCGCTTGGCAATCCTTCACCCTCTGCAACCCTTCAAGAACCCTCAAGGCGGCGTTTTGGCTCCTCCAGAAGTTTGGCCCTCTGCTAACATGTTCTTGTCATACGGCACTCACAGCAGACACAAACTTTACTTGAAAACCGAAAGCAATGAATGAAAACCCACTTAACTTTCTTTTTCTTTTTTTTTTATTTATTTTACTCCATCTTCTTTGAAAAGAAACCATTCTGCACAAACTTTTCTTTTTTTTTTTATTATTTTACTCCATCTTTTGAAAACCCACTTAACTTTTTTTATTTTTATTATTTTACTCCATCTTCTTTGAAAAGAAACCGACACACAACTTGCTTTGCACATGTCTCTCCTCTCTCTCTCTCTCACTTTACACCCACTCTCTCTGGTCCCTTTTTCTCTCTCCCAGACTCCCTTTAATCATATCCATCCTTTTTCTTAATTTATTCCCTTTAATCACCCTTTTCCCTTTCTCTTCTTCTTATTATTATTTTTTTCTATTCCACCTCTCAAAAATGTTTTTCATATCACCCATCCGGCGCACATGGGTCTGAGTCAAAAAAAAAAAAAAAAACAACAACAACACGACGCAGAGGAAGATCTGCACACCAAACTCATTTTATTCATGTCGGGGCTCACCCCGATCAACCATGTTTCCACATAAAAAAAAAAAAAATACACACAAACCACCACATTCACAGGTGGGATTTTTCTTCTCTACTCTGCCGCCGGTCTTTTCTTCTTGCCTCCATCCTGGGCCGCCCTTGACGGTGTTGCCTCCGAGTCACCCACTCCACTGGGCATGATCACTACTCCCTGCTCCTCCACTGCAGCATATGGCGGCCCTCCAAATCGGAACATCACGGTGGCCTTCCGCTTCAGCTCCTTATTTTCCACCTTTAGAACACTTATCTCTGCTCGCGCATCCTTATATATGCGTTGGAGCAGAGCCAGTTGGGCGTTTAACTGCTGCACCTCATTTGTCCTACTCTGCAGCCGGTGCGACAAGTTTGTGACCGCCGTCATGGTTTCCACACATGACTTCAAAGTATACTGATTGGCCTCAATATCAGTTTGCACCGCCATTTTTTGCTCCACCGACCGCATCAGAAAGTTCAATGGAGCAAACCCTGGGGCGCTTGGTTGAGGTTCAGGGGCCACCGCGCCCGTTATCTCTCTTGTTGACTCGTTGAGGTCTGGAAAGAGAGTGAGCAGACTCCGGGAAGACGAGGCCATTTTCTGGGCAACAGAGTGTTACAGAATATCTCTCGCAACAGAGTGTTAGTGTTACAGAATATCTCTCGCAACAGAGTGTTATAGACTCTCTCTCTTAGCACAACGAAGAGTTTTTCAGCGGTTTTTTGCAGGTTTCTGCCTCGGCCTCAGGTTTCGTCTTAGTTTAAATAGCCGAGGCAGACACGCGCATCGCGCGCCATTTGACGCCAGACGACAAAACGGGCACGCAAACCAAGATGGTCACGTGTCTCGCCATCATGTCCGGCACACCTTTTTTTATGGATTGGGCACGCCTTTTGATGGCACGTCTTTTGATGTCACGCCTTTTGAAAGATTGGGCACACCTTTTGAGGGCACGACTTTTGAGGGCTCGATATCTATATCCATGTATATCTTTTGGGCAGCCTATATACACACTCATACAGTGTCTTCTACACCGGTCAGCTTTATCAATCCCTTTGTTTCAACCTCAAATAGGTTTCTATCTTCACACCTATTTGAGTTTGAGGGGGGGTTATACACAGTATCATGTATAAGTCGCTCATGGCGCACTCCCTAAGTCGCCCCCTTGGTGCACCACCACAAGCTTCTACAACGGTCCGACATGACCCCATAAACTGTCTTGACATCTATACAAAATTTAGTTGTACTCTAATTTTGACTCAATTCAAGGGAGATACATCCCTTTTTTCTCAAATTTCTATGCAATCAAAGCTTGACACAGTTGCTTACCGGTCCGACATGACCCCGTAAACTGTCTTCTACATCGGTCTGACACGACCATACCGTGTCTCCTATCCTGTTTTGTTTTTTATTTATCAGTTTACTTTTCTGTTTGTTACTCTCTCCAAACTCAAGTTGGCTAGTACCTATCCTCCTTGAGTTTGAGGGGGGCTGTTAATGTAAATTGTAAATAGTAAATCACCCACTCCACCTACCACCTCCACTATCACCCACTCCACCTACCACCTCCACTACCACCCACTCCACCTACCACCTCCACTTCACCCCCTACCACCTACACCTACTACCACCCTCTCTTCTATATATAGGAGTTGTAATACATAACAATATATATCAATCAATACACATAAATCAATAATACATACAATTTATCTCTATCAATGTATTTTTCAGTCCCTATTTCTTTTAACACTCTGTATTTTATATGAATTCAATTATAAGTAGAGACTTGGAGAATAAGCTTGCAAATTCTGACTGGTGAAAGTTGGAGCTAGATGCCTTTTACTTCATGTCAAGGTCATCCCAATGAAATTCTGTAGTGACTTGGTAGTATTATACCAATAGCTTGCTAGAGTGGTCATATTTCTAACAAAGTTAGTCAGAAACACTAGTAAACTTATAATAGTGCTGTGAAACTGTCAACAGAGAAATTAAAATCACAATCAAATAATTGGTTATAGTTCATCATAAAAATGCATATTTGGGAAGTTATATACTTCTTATCACATTTTCTTATTTGACATGTTGGGAGTCAACCCTTGAAAATATGTTAGGAGTTGTAGAATAATCTGCTTTGCTGAGTGGTATACTGTCCTTGTATTTGTGTGAGTGGATGATGGTGATTTTATGAGCATTAGTAATTTAATGGCACAATGGTGCTGTGAGTTTTCTTACGGAGAGTTAACGAAGTTAAATTAAATGTTTGGTGTTAGACACATGGCAGTAGAGAGACACTAGGACAGGAAAATGGGACACGGAATTGGGACAGGTGATCCCATGCCATATTAGAAGACTAAATATTGTATTTGCAATTAAAACTATCAATATGAGATTAGGTGTTGGTAAGAATGAAAGGAGTTTGTTTTTTGTAGTGGGCATCAGTTGAATTTACTTTATAGTCCTTTATTCCCAGCAGCCACAAAGCACAGCCGACACCTCTTTTTCTTTTCCCTTTTCTCTCAGCCATAGTGATCTCCTCTTCTACTTTGTCTTATCCGCTTCCTTTTGTTTTTCTTCTCTTCTTTGTTCCCCTATTTCTTCATTTCCCTTTTGATATAAACCCAAATCAGACTAAAGTCTGAAACCACCCCAAAGATATGTGTGTGTGTTTGTGTGTGTATGCGTGTTTGCCTCCACCTTCTCCACATCCTCTATTTTCTCTTCTATGCTATTAAAACCCAAATCAAACCTATGTATGGAAACACAGAAATAAAGGGATAGACAATTGACACAGTACTATTTGCTTGCCAAATATTGCAATCCATTGTTGGAAGCTTGTCAATGCTTATTTTTCAGACACAATTGACTAAACATGTATAGCTTTATGTTTTCATTCTTGCTTTTAGAATGTTTAATTATGTTGGTATATTGATTAAATTACCAAGTTGCCTGGCTATGGCATTTCTGTACCAAGTGGAGCACTTGCTCATACCACTGTTTTCTTTATGTTTTCCTTGGTACATTTGTATTCTCTAGTTTTTGAAAGTGAAAATGTATCGAAGTGAAGTAACCAAAGTGCATTTGAGTAGAAAATTCTCTCTCTCTCTCTCTCTCTCAAATGTTGATTTCGTTTAAAATGAATGGTTGTGATTGGACTGGATATGGTTGTTTATTATGATTTTATTGCCTCAATATTGTCTTTATTGAATTTGTTATTGGTTACCCACTGTTATGCTTGTCAAGTCTTAAACATTTTTGTATCTCTTCCTTCCTTCTTTTTTTCTTTGTTTTTTTTCTTTTTCTTTTGTTGGTAATTTATTATTATACTTGGGATAGAAGATCCCAACCCTTCTAATATCTATAAATCATTTCCTTTTTTTTAAAAAAATTTATTTATTATAAAATCTAGCTACAAAAAGTTTAGATCCATACTACTTAAGGAACAACTATTAGAGAGCATTAAATGTGGCAGTTTGACACTTAAGGAGTTCGCTAAATGATCTTTTTTTCCAATGGGTTGGTTGTGTGATCAAAAGTTTAAGATTTGTGAAAAGAGTGTTGGGTTAAGAATACATAAAGTTTTAAATAAAAATTACATAAATGTGAGATAACAAATATTTATACCTCTAATTATGAATGAATCACATCTATATATTTTATATTGAGAACTTTCTATGTTTTTGGACTTTTGTTTTTGGTGTTGTGAAAGTGAGTTATAACCAACAACTAATATGAATCACTATCTCTTTTCAAATAGAATTTTTTAATATTTGTACAATAGTAACCTAATCACCTTGAGATAAGGAATGTTGTTAATGTGAATCACCTTCTTCCATATAGTTTTGTGACTTTTAAGATTATATTTTGGTGAATGATGCATTGAATTGTTACGTGGTCTAGTTTTTATTCATAATGATACAATCTGATCATAATGAAAATTTCCATCTTTAACTTCCATTTTTGTCCATGATATATTTACTCACCTATTGGAATGTTTGCATTTTTGTCCATGATATATTTACTCACTTATTGGAATGTGTGCATTTATGATGTATAAAATATTAGAATTATTGTTATGGTTAATTAATATGCATGTTCATGTATACAGAATATTAGAATTGTATAAAATATTAAAATTGTTGTTATGGTTAATTAATATGCATGTTTATGTATACAGATATTAAATTTAGGAGAAGTAAACAAAATGGACAAGAGTTGGATTGATTTGCCAAATAGGATGTCGAGAGAATACGTGAATGAGATCGATCGATTTCTAGTGTTTGCATACACCAATAGGGCTACAAGTTCGATGATTTGTTGTCCATGTAGGAAATGCGAGAATCGCTATCATCTTGTCTAAGATAGTGTGCGAGAGCACTTGATTTCAAATGGTTTTCTAAACAAATACAAACATTGGATTAACCATGGAGTCGTATACTTCTGTGCATGGTAACCGAGATAATGAAGCCTTAGTAAATGAAAACATTTGGAATGATATGGTTGGAATGATACACGATGTTACTGGTATTTTAGTTCCTAGTAAAAGTGTTGTAGGTGATGAACCACAGACACCAACTAATCCCAATGTAGCAGAACCACTTGCAACTGATCCGCAGTTAGGTCTAGATGTAGATACTGCAAATTATTTCAAACTTTTAGAGGATGCTCAGAGTGAATTGTATCTGGGTTATCAGAAGTTCACATCTTTGTCGTTCAT